ATCTCCCAGCCCCGCCAAGCCAGGGCACCTGGGAAAGGATGCTTGTGGCCCCTAGGCTGCTGGCAGTGGTGGTACAAGGATGCGTCTGCTGATGGGCACAGCCCCCCTTACTGCCCAGCCCAGGGAGCCGGCCCGAGAGGCGGCTCGTAAGGAGTGGACACATGTTCTCTCCGTGGGGACAAAAACCCTCCCACAAAGAGCTCCTTGGCCTGGCCACATCCAGCCCTAGTCAAACCCAGGAGGCCGCCTGGGACCATTTTTTAATTCTTTTGCAATCAGCATTTTCTTTTCTTCATTTGCTGGTTGAATAATGCAGCCTGTAAGAAAACGGCCCTCAGCACAATTCTGGTGCTCGTTTACAATGGAAATTGGGAAAACGGCGAAACGCATACTGCAAAATGCATTTAAAAGAAGATGATTCAATTGGATTTGGCAGCTCTGATATTCAGGACCAGAAGGAGAAAATCTGTCTATGATTTGAACATGTATAATTAAGATGAAAGCCTTAAGTACCGGGTGCATTTCTTAAGATGTCACCGGCTCTGTTGACTCCAGGCGTTCTGATCAGTGGAGCAGAGCATTTATTTCTGAAATCTGAATAGCTATGAGTGAGATGCCTTTTTAAAACCAGCATTATGGAGCCAAGCCAAACCCTGACACCACACAGCTCACCAAAGGGGGCACAGACAGCGAGAGTGGAGTGGGGTGGGCCAGGAGCACCCCAGATCCAACTTTGATCTTGACCCAAGATGCACCCCTCAGCCTTGCAGATTTGCCCCAACGTTGGGGTTTGAGCAAAATTGCATCAGTTTAGGCTGTCTAGATTGGTTCTTCTGGTGCCAACAGAACTGCCAGTGCCCTGGGAACTGTTCTATCCTGAAATTAGTGCGCCCCCTGGAATGCTGGGACTGTGAACTTCCAGGGGGATAGGCCAGTACCGTGGGGAAAGCCGTGGAGAGAGAGACAGAAGACCTGGCTCGAACCCGTCTTCACGCCTTGCTCGTGTGACCTCAGGTGGGTTACTTAGCCTCTCAGGACCTCAGCTTCCCCATCTGTAAGTTGGGGTAGGGGCATCCTACCTCACTCCTAAGAGTTCGGAAAATTCAATGAAGTCATCATGTAAATCCCGGCATCTGGCATCCAAGCAGCACCTGCTACCTGTGAGCGCCTGTTCTGACACCTTCAGTCCTCTCTCTCTCCAGCTCACCAAAATCATCTCCACTAGCCAACTCGCCTGGCTCGCACTCACCAGGGCCTCTGGGAGTCGGATCTATTTGGAAACTAGGGTGTCATGACAAACCCCACTTGCCGAGGCGAGATGACTCAGTGGTAGAATTCCTGGCAGCCTGACAGCCTCTCCAGGGAGAGCTGAGGCTTCATGCCAATGACTCACAGGTGCCACACCACGTGGGCCCAAACCCTGAGGGGGGGCAGTCACGTGACCGGGCCTGTCACATGATCTCATAGCTCATCTTCCTCGAAGCTCCAGAACCTCCCTGGGATGTGTGGGGTCTCCTCACTTTTCCCCTCCAGATGGGAGAAAGAGGACAGAGCCCATAGCTGGCCTGCGCCTGGCCCTCTGCTTGGGAGTCTGGCCCCCTCTAGAGAGAATGTGGCCATAATGTTTGACAAAGGCATTCACCGCACCCTGACAGCAGGTCACCCCTTTCTTGAGGTGAGAGGAGTCAGGGAGGGAAGGGAGCACTGAGGAGCAGTGCTGGGAAAGAAAAGGAAAGCGCTGCCTTGCAGGGAGCACATACAGAGTCCATGCCCTACAGAAATCTCAGGGGCTGTTATAAGACCCCCAAGTGGCCGCTTGTCCCATGGCACAGCCAGCACTGGCCTGCTGGACCCTACCCCCGAAGCTGAAATTCCTCCGAGTGTGACCAGAAGAATCCAGCCACTGCTGCCCCCCCTTAGCTAACGGGAGAAACCCCCTCCCACAGAAAGGGGCAGCCAGAAACAAGCTCAGGCCCATTCTCGCAAGTGGGGAAGCTGAGGCCTGCTGTGGCAGCAGAGGCTTGGACAGCAGGGATCCAGCACTCCCTGCCTCATCTGGCCCAGACCACGGGTCACTCACGCTGCCGTCAGCACTCAGGGCCCTGCAGTTCTACGGAGGTGGCTGCAAATCCCCCGGCTCTGCTCTGACCGGCTGTGTGACCTGTGGAGCGTTCCTCAACCTCTCTTTGCCCCGTTTCGTTGCCTGCAAGGGGGCGGCAGTGCCTTCCTCCAATGTGGGCACAGACCCCAAGTGCTAAACTAGCATCCACTTTCTTCCCTTCCCCTTCCTGGCTGCTTTTCCCCCCAGCTTTTCTTTCCTTCTTCAAAGCGGCTTAAAACTCAGCAACACCCGCGCCTCTGTGATGGCGCGTGTTTAGCCTCCTACACGCGCGTTGTGCCCGTGTCTGACGGTGGGGCCCGCGGCAATTCCATCTGACGGGAAGGCAGAGGCTGAGATGCGCGAGGAAACAGCCTCTGAATGCTAAGGAAAGCGCCCGGCTTTGTTCCTTCCGAGGAGGGAGCGGGGCCCGCGGGCCCCCATCCGGAGCTTCTGATGTAGGATAGTGTGAAAAATTAATGTTTCTGGTTGCACAAGTTTTGTTTCTTGCTTTTACCTTCCAAATCAGGCGTAGCTTGCAGGAACCAACGCAGTTCCGTCCAGAGTCAGGAGAAGCAAAGACAATTACAGGAGACACTAACCTGAAAACACAGAAGCTGGGGTGTCGAAGGGAGGGGATGTGGGGGTAAGAGCAGCTGGGGGTGCTGGCGACGACACCAGAGGTGAGGGCGCTCCGCCATGCTGTCGAGGAGCTGGGAGCCGGCCTGCCTGGTGCGGGGCCCTGTAGTGGCAGGAAGGGCACAGAGCAGGAGCTCTATGATCTGGTAAAGGAGAGTCCTGGAGCCCTCAGTTGCTTTTTCGGGATTTTTTTTTTTTTTAAGATTTATTTATTTATTTATACAAGCACTGGGTACAGTCAGAAGCACGGGAGGGTGAGAGAATTCACCAGAGCGGGGAGCAGAACAGGCAGAGGGACGTGGCAGGAGATGTCTGCGTGCCACGTGGGACCCTCGCCGGTGGCCGGGGATCGAACCAGCGCTGCAGAGGCTACGGGAAGCTTCGCAGCCCAGCGCTCAACTGCTGCGCCACCGGGGAGGCCCCTTTTTCAGGCTTTTATTGAGCTTTACCAGGTACAGGGCAGGCGGGGGGGTCAGGAGGCCGGGAGGCTGGCAGGCTTCCCAGCCCCCAGCGAGTCTTCACTCTTTCTGAGCTCTACTGGCATTCTTGTTCTGCTACTTTCTCTGCTGGCATCCCCACGACACCGCCCTTATAAGCCAATCTCAGCCCAGGTGTAGCCACCTATGCATGCCCACACCCCACTCCAGGTGCCCGCCATCAGGCATGCATGCAGGACCACAGAGATCCGTAATTAATGCTAACAGTGGGAGGGTGGAAAAGCCTGAATTTTTCACTTACCCTACAGGCCCCCACTGCTGGGGGCCCAACAAAGAGGGGCGGTGGGCACCACAGGCCCGAGGCAGAACCCAGCAGCCGGGGGGCTGTGTCCTAGTGTCCAGCCCGAGGGTCCCATCAGCAATGTGGGGTTCACTGTGCCATTAGCATTTCATCTGCTGGGGAGGCCAGAACCAGAAAACAAAGGGGGAGATGGCCTCTGGATGCCGAGGACCATCCCACAGGCCTGGCCACCTGACTAAGAGCTGAGAGAACCTTCCAGAGCCCCTGGTGCAGTGGAGAGTAGAAACGTCACATCTCGGCTTTCACATTTGCCCTTCCTTGTTTTGTTTAGTTTTCAACCTTCCAAATCGCGAGGTGAGGAGCCGGGAGGGACGGAGATGGCTTCGTTGAAAAGGCCAGAAAAGCAACAGAGAACAAGTGCGTGGACGAGTTTCACGCAGATTTCACTCACCAGTGGCCAAAGGCAAGGTGCTGCCCTGCCGGAAGGAGCAAGTCCCAGAAACAGCAAACACGTTCTTATCCGGAATTCCCGAGTCCCTGGTCGTAGCAAACGCAGGGGAGGGCAGAGGCGTGGGGGCCTTCTGTGGCGTTGGGCTAATGGGGATGCGGGCTCCTGAGCGTGCTGAGGCTGCGTGTGTGTCACATACTCACATTCTACTAATTACATCATAGCAGATGATGTCACATCCATCTTTACACCATGCAGCATTCTCCCTCGGCAGATTCTGGGTCTCCAAAATGGGGAGATTGATTCTCTATCTTCATAATCCTCCCCACTTTCTGGGGGAGGAGTCTGTGGTTTGGTTTAAGGGTTCAGGGAGTGGGGTTTGGGGGCAGCGGGGTAGGAGAGTGAGGGGGGATGTGGAGCAGGAGGAGGAAGGCGGGAGAGAGGGCAGGTGAAGGAAGCCCTCGCTCTGCACCTTTAGAAGGTGGCCAGGTGAGGAGGGGCAGTTCTGAGGTGCAGGGCAGGCCAGCCCAGCAGACTCGGGGGTGGGGGCAGAGTCCTGGCATCACCCTGCTGTTGGAGCAACCCCAGATTTTACACCCCCAGACTGCCGTGTGGGGATAAAGGCCTGGCTCCGGCCACTTGTACTGGAGGCTGTAATTTGCAATGACGTGGCCCACCTACCCTGACCCCTGGAGCCGTGGCCCAGACAACCCCACGTTCATGTGCAGAAGCGTGCAAGGCACAAGGACTTCCACGAAAGGGGTCCCTCCGCTTATTAGCTAGACTAAGCATGGGGCCTCCGAACCCAACCATTTTTGAAGCTGGCTGCAAAAGGACAGCCCCCTGGGGGCGGTGGGATTTAGCAAAAGCCTCCCTGGCCCAGAACGCCACTGAGCTAGTGCCTGCCCTGCAGCGGCGGCCTCTGGGAGCAGAGCCTCCAGGAGTGAGCAGGGGGCAGGAACACCTGACCCCTCCAGAAAATGCTGCTGAGGCGAAATGCCAGTGCAGCCTCATTTTCAGACCCTGATTTCATTAATAAGATAATGATGAGTCATTTAACTTTGCATCCAAAGAGTGAAGCAAATTACCTGTGTCTACATTGCTTAATGACGGGGGCGCTAACAGGACCTTTGCCGCCTGCCAGAGCAGAAACTGACCCATCCGGGAGGCAATTGGATGGCCCTGGGCTTGCCACTTGACTGAAGCCATCCATCAGGTGGGACTGGCCCCATCATGCGCCCCCCACCCCGTTAGCCGGTGCCCTCTCCCAACGCCCCACCTCCCTGACGCGCTGGGCTTGCTTGACCCCATGATCCTGAATCAGCCATTTCCTAGGCACGAGCCATCGGGCCCCGTCAGCCCTCGCCCGGGCATCCAGGTGTGAATCTTCCTCTCTGGTTGCAATTTCCCAGGAAGGATTTCACTGAGGCAGAGTCCTGAGCTCCTCGCCACCCTCAGGAGGAAATGCCAGCGCCTCCGCTGCCTTCCAAGCAGAAGGCGATGAGAGAAATCGGGAGCAGCAGAGCAGAGTCCCCCAAAGGCCAGAGGGCTGCTACCGGGTTTGCCATTGTCTTGGAGTCTGTGACATTTGCTGGTTTCAGCTCCTCCAATATCCTGTTCAGCTGGTGCACTGGGCCCTTTTGGAAAGCGGGTGGCTCTAGGAGTTTTGTGGGGGTTTTTAAAAGATTTATTTATGTATGTGTACAAAAATTGGGGTTACTGCCTGTAAGGGGCAGGACAGGACAGTGAGCAGGTTTTCTAGGATCCTATGCAGACCAGGTAAAGGAGGAGTCAGAGTCCTCAGTGGTTTTTTTGCAGGTCTTTTATTGGGATTTTACCTGGTACACGGCAGGCAGGGGTGCTGGGGGGCTGGGAGGCAAGTCTTCACTTTATCTGGGTTCTCCGGCCTTCTCTCGGCTTCTGCTTCGGCTTCTTGGCTTCTCCTGGCGTCCCCGTGACGCCGTCCTTAAAAGCCCAGTCTCAGCCCAGGTGAATCCCATCTACCTAGGCCCACACCCTGCTCCAGGTGCCCGCCATCAGGCATGCATTCAGGACCGCAAGGATCTATCATCTATCCTGATGGCAGGAGGGCAGAAAAGCCTGACACTTTCCCTTACCCTATACTGCCCTATAGTCAAGTAGCCACCATTACATTCAAGATGGAAAAAGACCCATCACCCCCAAAAGTCCCTTCCTGCCCTTGGTGGTGGGCCTTGTCTCCTCCCTCTTCCAGGCCTGGCCACCCCCAACCTGCTTCTCCCAGGCCCTGGCCTCTCCTGCACGCCCTGTACCCAGGGCAGCTGCTGCCCTGGAATCCGGCTGCTTTCACTGGGTGCACTGCATCTAGATGCAACCACGTGCTGTGTGCACAGGGGTGTCATTAAATCCACTCTCTTTCTATTTAACAGAGAAAAGGACCTGATCTCACCAATACAGTGAAGAGTGAGAATTTTGAACCCCAAAACTGGGTGGGACCCCCGTTCAGCCACTCATTGGATACACACACGGGTGCTTTGCTTTTCTGAGGCCTGGATTCCTGGGAACTGTGTCTCTGGAGATTTGGGGAGCGTGAGCAGAGATCCTCTAAGAGAAGGCACCAGACTCAGCCCAGGATGTCGCTCAGAAGAGACAGGTGTGATTAAACCCATCAGCTTTCCTTGGCCTGCACCTCAAATCTGAGAGCGTGCTGGCAGGGTACACAGGGAGACTAGCACAGGAGGACATAGGACCTTGACAGCCTCCCTGCAGACCCACAAGAAGGGGATAGAGATAAATGAGGGGGTGGACAAGGGACTTAGCCTTCCATGGAGGTTGGGACCCCAAGAATAAAATAGTCCATTTCCCAGGACCCGAGATGTTGTCGGGGGAGTCCACTGGGCCCAGCCCCTGGCCTCTTGAAGTGTGACCAGCCTGTCACCTGTCCTAATTACTACATTTTATTGAGCCAATACTCTGTTGGGCATATGTGTAAATAGTATCTCATTTAAATCATCACTCTTCTGACTTGTCATGAGGAACTAGGGCCAGTGAAGGGACCCCATTCTGGCAAATACTTAGGCTGATTCAGGGGCCAGTCCACACCCTTGATTTTATTTCTTCAGCAACCCAATGGAAGCATCTCGGGACAGAAACACCAGGCAGCAGCTGCCTTGGTGTCCACCTCGGGGGCCTAACAGCGATTTGCGGGGTGAGGGGGAGCTCATGCCCTTTGCTTGAAGTTCTCTCTGAGCTCACAGTGGCCACTACCCAGGTCCCTCGTGGGCGAGGAAGGAAGTCCACCACTCCCATAACCTTCCAGAATGTTCTCTGCCCACCCCACCTGCCTCCACAGAGCCTCATCTTCACCTCTCAATGGACACCCTTTTCTCCTGCTCTAGAGAAGCAGCTGAAACCTGCTGGTCAGGAATCTGCAGCAACTCCAGGGCCTCCTACCCCCAGGCCCCCCTCCCCTGCTGGGTGTTCTCCCTGGACACCCCTCCCTCCCCAGCAAAGCACATCTGAGCCAGCCTAACCCCGGGTGGAACGGTCCACTCCCGGGGACCCCCTGAGCCCACCCTGCTCATTTTTCTAAGGAACGATTTCCAAGGGGAGGCCCCTGCACCTCCAAACCCCCAGGAGGTGAAAAAAAATCTTCAAGCCGATGTTTATTAGCAGCCCCGTGTCATCGGCTGCCGACGCGACGCGTCGTGACTCACAGTTAGGAGGAGAGCGGAATCCACGGCCATTTGTCCCGCTCCCGGTGTCATTAGGCGTCCCGTTGCCGCGGATTACCGAGATGATTAGTGGCATCAAATGACTTCTGAAAAATGATTATGTGCCATTAAAAGCATTACTCTGTCTGAAACCACACAAACAAATGGCCTGAGAGTGAGTCATGACTGGGGGGGGCGGGCGAGGTGCGGGGAGCCTGGCAGTCAGCGCTGCCAACAGGTGTGGCGGCCGCCGAGCCCGGAGCCCTCCCGGCTGCAGAGCCCTGGCCAGAAAGGGCCTGTGGCCGGAGCCACCGCTCCCCTGCGGGCGCCGAGGGTCTGGATCTGCCCGGTGGGGTGGCCCCCCACCAGACCAGCTGTCACGGAGACCCCCTAGTGACAGCTGGGTGAGACTGAGCCTCCTGCAGGGTACAGGAAAGCGGATTTGGGAGGCGCACAGAGGCAGGAACGAGACTCGACCACAGAGGCATAAGAAGCAGGTAGCTCTCCACCAAGGAGGCCCCCGGGGGAGTTTCTAATCGACACCAGCAAGAAAAAAAGCCTGGCTTGGGGAATCACAATGTAATTTACAATGACAAGTACAAACAGAGAAGCTATAATTTGGGAGATTAAAAAACATTTCTTGAAGATATGCCCATAAAATAGCTTTGATGTGACAGCCAAAGAAAGAAATAACAAGTCTGGAGACTTGTCGTTTTGCTAGTTTTTAAACGCATCCGGGTCCAGTGCCAGGCCTGGGGCAAAGGGCGTTTTGTGTTGATTCACTCGCTGGGGGCAAAGGCTTGGTTTGGAGAGGTAATGAGTGGGTACCCCGGCTCCCCGCTCCCCTCCACCTAGAGGTTCGTGAGTTCATACCTGATCTGTGGGGCTACATCCTTGGAGGGGTTGTCTAAAGGCAGGTGAATCCATTCTGCCACTGATGATGTTCTAGAATTTTCTCACCTCTCTCTCTCCTCCCCTTCTCTCCTCTCTCCCTTACCCACCTTCTCTCTCTCCTGCCCCCCTCCCTACCCTCCTTTCTCTCTCCTCCCACATTCCCTCCCTTTTCCTCTCCACTCACCACCACGCGTGGACAGACTGGCCTTGCCTGACCTTTGCTTGATGGCCAGCATGCCAGCTTCAGCCCACCCCGGCCTCACGGGCTGAGCCACCCAAGAACACACCACCAGGCGCTGATGTCAGCTCCCTGTTCCATCTCACTTGCCCCTCACCCGGGAGGCAGCAGGATCGCTCTCAGCATCTCCCAGAGAACAGGGGCAAAGAGAAGCCACTCCACTGGGAAGGTGGGTGATGGGGTTCAGCAGAGCCCTGAGCTAGAGCCACCTCCACTTACCTGGGCCCCATGGCCCCTGCAGAATCGCGCTAAGACCCCTCTCCCAGGACACCGAGTGACCCAGCTGCCATCCTGCTGAGCTCCAAGGCCTGGGGTCCCCACAGACTCTGACGATGCCCCCCTCCAGGTGAGTTGAGAGGAGGGAGTAACCCCTCCTATGAGATTCGAAGTGCCTGCAGCTGTTCCAGGAGGGGATGGCTGGGCACCGGGTGAAGGGCAGGAGGGTGCCGCCCGGGGGCTTCTGGCTGCTTGTTTGGGGGCTCTTTTAGAGATTGTCCAGGGTCAGAGGCAGGCTGTGCAGCCCAGCTTTCGAGAATCTCCTGGGAGACTTAAAAAACAGCCATGGGGGGGCAGCCTGTGGGGGTAGACCCGCTGGCCCAGCTGCCCCACCACCTGTGACAGGTGAGGAGAGCAGCCGGCAGAGGGCTTGTGATGAGCAGAGGGTCAAATGCTGCCCGCAGCAGAAGCCAGCAGCAGCCAAATGCCTGGCCTAGCAGGCTCCACCTCTCCCGCCCGCTCTCTGGAACCCAGAAGGCTCTCCCTCCCTCCCTCCCTCCCACCTGCCTCTCAGGCAGACAGAGGCTGCAAAGCCACTGAGCCTGGAGGCCTTCAGAGCTGACTGACACCTGTCACGACCCTGGCCGCAGGCACCCGAGGTCCAGCCCACGACAGCCTTCAACAGCCGTGGCTGCGGCCTTTCTAGTTCCAGAGCCTGGAGTGCCCACCATCTCAAACAGGTGGTCGATGTCCAATGGCCCTTCATCTCTCCTGCCCCGGGCCTCACAGGGATGGCCGGCTCACTCCGGAGAAGCCCAGACACGCTCTTCTTCATCTTGATCGAAGCTGGCTTTGCATTTCTTGTTGCTTTGATGGGGTGGGGGCCGTGACAGCAGCCGGCAAGCGGCGGCTGGACTTGTTTCTCCCGCCCCGCACCTCGTTCTGCAAGAAATACATGAAATCTCCCTCCTCCGCTTGTTGGTCTTGTTTTCCTTCTTCTGCTGGTACGGGAGGGTGTCTGTGTGTCTCTCCACCGCGGGTCACGAGTGACTCTGAAGTTCATCTGCCAAAGTCAAGGAAGTTCTTGCAGAAGACTCGGAGGAGCCATTGCAGGCAGCCCGCGGCGGGCCTTTTGACCCTCCCTCCACCCCTTCTTGACACTCAAAAAAATTAACGACTCCAAACAGCCTGGAGGTTCTTCCAGATGCCTGACTCAGGTCTCTGCTGCTGCAGCTGTGTTTATGAGTCTGCGTCCCACCCTCTGCCGCGGGTGATGACACGCAAGATCACTCTTCCAGCGACGGCTCCACGGCCAGGACGCTGATTTCAAGGCCTCTATTCTGGGAAATGCTGAAACAGCACCGGGGTGCCCCGTAGTTCAAAGCCCTCTGTAAACATGTTGACGTTCTCTCCCTGTCTCTCTCTGGAACCAACTGAGGACAGGGCTGGACCCAGCTCAAAGGCCTGATTGCTGTCCCTCTCCATACAGCTCTCCAGGGACTCTCAAATTTGAGGGCACAGCAGCACCATACCCGAGCTCATGGGCCTGCTGACAAGACTCAGTTCCTTGAGGGGCATCGAGTAGAGGGTCTCAGCACCCAGCCCTGGAGCCTCCCCAAGATGGCGGCTTCACCCATCAACACATGCGAGCTGAGAAGACGATAGAGTCTGCTCAGAAGACAGAAGTTGAAGTCTCTTGTTGCCTCGCCGTGGAAGTGACAGCCCATCACTTTGCCATGTCCTGTGGGTTAGGGGCGAGAGGCCAGCTGGTCCTCGAGAGGAGGAGGTGCCACAGGGCGGAGCAGGAGGTGGGGCCACTGGGCCCCATCTGGAGTCCGCCTGCTGCTGGGCTGACTGCATGTGCTTCCCTGGAACAGCGGTGTGACGCCGAGGAGGGCGAAACAATCTCAGGATGGGCCTTGTGCGGGGTTGACTGTAACTGCAGGTGCCTGGGGTCCAGGCGTTTGCCCAGGAAACACCAAGGACAAGCATTCCAGGGGCTCCCGAACCCCCAGCTCAGGGGTGGCTTCCTGGCACTGACTCTCCAGGTTCCAGCCCATGTGTGCTTCCAGAGTCACCCCGAGTCTCTTTACAGCATGCCATCAGAAAGCCTGGGGCAAGATCACGGGTGCCCTGTGCGGGCCAAGGGCTGACAGAGCCAGCTGCAGGCTGCAGAGCTCCGGCCATTGCAGCGGTGGCTGGAGAAAGTGGACCCCAGAGGAGGTAGACGGCCTGTGACACACGTTGGGCCCAGCACGGGGGTCTGTGTGCTGCGCAGCTGCTCCCCGTGAAGCCAGTCCCGCCTGCAGGGTCCCTCACGTTCCAGTCCTTCCACCTGCAGACCCCTTAGCCTCTTAGCTGCCGACAGTTATTTCCCCTCTGGTCCCTAACTCCTGCCCGAAGAGCCTGCCGTTCACCTGTGTCCCTGAAGCCGTGAGCTTTGTCAGCCAGGGCCTTGCAAGCGACCCTCCCAACCTAAACACTGCCATGGCCATCCGCCGGAAGTGTCACCCAGTCCCCCTGGGGGAGAGTAGTGGGGTGCATCTTTGAGCCAGAGTGGGGTGTGCAACCTGCTGCTGTTTGCAGGAGCCTTAGTCAAAGCAAGACTTGCCCAAGAAGCAGAACTGGGGGGTCTTGTCTGGGAGGGTCTTCAGACAGAGCCGATGGGTCTTTAGAACTGACCCCGTGACCGGTGATAAGAGCGGACCCACGGCAGACCACGTCATGCACCCCATGCCAAGCTCTGATCAAGCTCTTCTCACGTATTGCTTAGCTGACTTCACTCTCACGATGCTCCCAGGAGATGGCTGCCCCTACTCTCCCTGGCTGCAGGGGAGACCCTGAGGCAGAGCGATGTTAGGACGCTTGCCTGGGGCCTGGGGTCGGCGGCAGAGCCGAGACTTGAGCCCGGCAGTCTGGCTGTCAGCTCTGTTTCCTTGGCCACGGCTCCACACCCAGAGTGAGGGGCTTAGTAACTGGGGAACAGGCTCCCGCGCAGAACTGTGGGAGCCTGGCTGTGGTATATATGGTGCTTCGGAGAGGAACATTTTCATTTCGTTTGTTTCCTTTACTTTTTGCTGAAATTCCTTTGGCAAAGTCTAGCCTAGTTCAGAGAAAAGGGAAAAGACTAAGGGAGGTAAATGACAGAGACAGACAGACAGACACAGACAGACAGATAGATGTGTGGCTAAGGGGATGGGTGGATGGATGATGTAGAGAGATATAGACAGATGTATAAAATCAGGTTACAAAGAAAGGAAAAGGGGGGAAGCGTGTACACCCCTGACCTAGGCCAGGCGGCCTCCGTAGAGCACAACACAGAGCAGGATCTGGCCCCAGCAGGGTCAGCCAAATCCTCCTTCATCTCCAAGACCCAAAAGAATTGCTCTGTCCCCAGGAGACCCCCACGAAACCAACATAGGATCTGACTAAGAAGGGGGAGTGGGTGGCCGGGAAGACTGTGCTGCCCTTTTCCCAAAGAAGAAAGTGTACTCTGGGGCTTGACCACCTCCTGGGAGGACGTCCTGACCAGCCAAGGGCAGCGGCGTTTCTGGGGGAAGAAACGCGTCGAAAGGATCCGGCGTCTCGGAGCAGCAGCTCGCGGGTTGCCATGGGTTTAGGAGACCCGGCTGACACGGGGTGGTTGCCTTGGGGATGCCGGAGGAGGCGGCCTTCCTGGCCAGCTCAAGCCCAGCAAAGGACGCTACCAGGGGGAGTAAGAAGAAAATCGCCAGGCCCTGTGGAGCGGGCAGCTCCATCTGTCTACAAGACACTCTGTATCAGCTCCCACCCACTCACACTAGCTGCCCCCCTGCTCCCCCAAATCCCCCAGCTAGGAAGCACAGATAAGGAGGTGACATGGGGAAGCCCTTCATTGCAAGCCCATCAGACCTGATGTGGTAACTCAAGTTGATAACTGGAGCCGCCTGGATACCTCGTGTAAATGCAGCCCGGCAACTCCGAGGATGTGCATGCAAGTGGGGCAGGGCATGGCTCGCTCTGCCCACCAGCCAGGAGGATCAGATACCCTCTGCCTCTGTGACCTCCGTGCGTGTCTTGCCTGACAAAGTGCACAGTCGCTCTGCCTGGCCCTCACTTGTCGTTTGTACCTGCAGTCAGGGACAACCCGGTTTCACTCTGGTCAAGACTCAAAGCCCATCCCACACACACCCAGGGAACTCTGTGGGTTCCCGATCCCAGACTCCTTACAGGATCTCTCACCATCCCCACCCCACCATCCCCCCAGCGGGCCTCCCCCACTGCTGATGTCCCAGCCATTCAGCCACATGGAAGCAGCGTGAAGAGAGAATGACTTGGGAAGGGGGTCGTGGGCCAGCAGCCCAGTATGCTGAGCTGCCTGGTTGATTTGGAGGCAGTCACACACCAACCTGCAGCTGGGCAAAAGTCAGCTGTATCCAGAAACACAGAGGAGGCAGTGCCATGAATGCTTTTCAAATGATTGCTGATCCTCAGGGCCAAGCCAGGGAGAGTGGGTGCGAGCAGTGGTGTCCGGTTCAAGTTCACTGGCCAATGTGCGGAGTCAGAAGCCGCTGTCTGAAAGCATCGCACTTGACTTGTGCCGCCCGACACCTGCTGTGGTCTCCCTTCCAGCAGGAAGCACAGCCAGCTCCCTCCAGGGGAGGGACAGCAGTCCAGGGAGCCAAGAAGCCGCAGGCTGACAGCTACTCCAGGGGCCAGCTGACAGGTGCGCCCAGGGAGGCTGCCCAGGAGGCTGCCCGGGAGCCAGGCGGGTCACCCCTGTCAC